CATCAAGGCGGAAGGATTTGAATTTTGGCGGATCGCATAAGCTGTACATTGACTGTAGCAACATCACATCAGGAGGAAATAGTGGGAATGAGATGGATTGGATGATTTCTAGATCACCACGAAGGAAAAGAGCAATTAGGAAAAGACAAGAAAGAGCAAGAAGTTGGTCAGAAGAAAGTGAGGCAAGAGCAGACATTAGCAAAAGGACAACAACAAAAATGGCGAATTCAGAAGAACAGAGTCAAGTTAATTTAGAAGCAGAATTTAAAGTTATGGCAGAATTCAAGCAAGAGGGGAGCTATACATCCCATAAAACTGACCAAAGCAATAGAGGCAGAAATAGGAAAATTAAAATGGCTAGGATCATGAACAACAAAGAGTGCTAATACATGCTAACAGCGAATCACAGCAACAGAAGATCATGAAAATGAAAACCCTGATGGGGGAAAGAGTTAGAACTCATATCCCAGGATTGTTAGCCAGACTAAGCGGCTTAAAGACACTATGGCAGTAATTTTACAGTTTGAAAATAGTGTGCCAGGAAATATCCAGCTGGGTTATATGAACTATAGAGTTAGAGAGAATATACCTAAACCCCTCAGGTGTTTTCAGTGTCAAATAATGGGACACGCTGCAAAGGAAAAATCAGGTGTGCAAGATGTGGAGGTCCACATGAATGTGAGAAAGATGCGAAAATCAAACGTAATTGTGGAGGAGAACACAGTGCAGCTTATGGTGGTTGTCAAACACAAAATGAAGCTAGGGAAGCTCAAAGAATTAAAATAACAGAAAGAATTTCATATGCTGAAGCCTTAAAAAGAGTAAAGAAAGACAGTGATAGAGGAATGGGAGAAACAGGTCAAAGAAACTCAGCGTGGAATACAAATCAAGTGCAGAACGGGCAGAGACAAAGCTTGGTTCCAAATGCATGCTTGCATAAATGTTGAGTGGATGATGATATAATGGTGGTGAAAAAAGAAAACTTTGTAGCATTTCTATGCCATAAATGTGACATTGCAAATGAAGAAGTGATAAAATAAAGGCAATAGTAACAGCAGCTGGAAGATTTTTAGATATGAAAGAAATACAAGCAGATCAAATACATACCATTCTGAGTGCCACTGAAACTACAGAAAATACTCAGGATTAGGATCCTAGTGTTCTTTTTGATGGTTTTTCATATCCTTCAGTGGAATGCTGGAGGCTTAATAGCCAATGGACAAGAATTTAAAAAGTATATTTATGAATTAGAAATGATCCCTGATATTATATGTATTCAATAAACATGGTTAAAACCAAACCTAGATTTTAAGATTCCTGGATATAGCATGGAAAGACAGAATATAAATAATTGTGATGGAGGAGGATGTGCTACTTTAATTAAAGATGGAATAGCTTATTAGAAAATCCCAACGGGTAATAAAATAGAATGTGTTATTATAGAAATATTTAATGAAAGAAAATATGGAAGTATTAAAATTATAAATTGTTTTAAGCTATGTAAAAATCTTGATTGTAAAATGCTTAAAGAAATGGCTGGGAAATTAAATAGAAGAGAATTATGGTGCGGTGATTTTAATGCCCATAATAATGTGGGGTAGCAAGAAGACGGACCAAAATGGCAACATAATTGAAGAAATAATGGATGAATGATCATTAGTTTGTCTTAACAATGGAAAAGGTACCAGAGTAAATATGCATAAAAATACAACCTCATGTCTAGATATTACATTAGTATCTGACTGTCTTGTAGGTTCATGTGAATGGGACATCAACAGGGAATCTACAATAGAGAGTGATCACTTTCCAGTGCGTACTATCATTAATGATAATATAAAGAGGCAAGAAGATGTCATAATCACAAGATGGTGTTTTAATAAAGCTGATTGGAAAAAATTTAAAGTAAATTGTGAGAAAAGCAGACATTTGGTTACATCAAAAGGCAAAATAGAGGAGCGTACAAGTCAGAACAAAACATATTTTAAATGCTAAAATTCAAGCATATCAAAAATAATAAAAGGGAAGAAAAAAGTAGTCCCTTGGTGGAATGATGAATGTACTAGAGCGGTTAAAGATCGTAACAGGGCATTTAAAATACTGTAGAAAAAATTAACAGTTGAAACTAATATTGATTATAAAAAGAAAAGAGCAGTGGCTCGTAAAACTATTAAGAAAGTTAAAAAGAAAATGTGGAGAGAATATTGTTCCTCAATAGGATCAGAAATAAAATTACAGAATGTTTGGTCAATGTTTAGGAAATAGATTGGGAAAAGGAGTGATGTTAAAATACCAGCCTTAGTTACATATCAGGAAATAGTAGTGTTAAATAAAGATAAGGCAGATTTGTTGGGTGAATCATTTGCTGTAGTGCATAGTGGCAAACATCTTACACACATTCATAGACAACTGAAAATTAAAAAAATTAGTAAGCATAAAATATATTGGAAAAAAGTCAAAACATATAACTCAACATTAGACATGAATATAACCATGAAAGAAATTAAAACAGTATTGAAAGGGACAGGATATTCAGCTCCAGGGGAGGATCAGCTATGCTATGCTATGTTTAAACAGATTCCTGAAGTAACATTAGAATTCATTTTTGAAACTGTTCAATAAAATATGGAAAGAAGGTTTAATACCAAATAGCTGGACGAGGGCAATAATCCTACCGTTTAATAAACCAGGGAAAGATCCTATAAATCCAAATAATTATAGACCAATAGCATTAACTTCACATTTAAGTAAGTGGATGGAGAAAATAATAGTTAATAGATTAGAATTTACTCTTGATCATAAGAAATTAATTAATGAAAATCAGTGTGGATTTAGGAAAGGGAGATCAACAATGGATGCAATAACCAGAGTCAGTAATGACATAGAGAAAACTTTAAAAAATCCTTATGGACAGAAGGTCTACTTATAAAAATTAAGCAGATGGGAATAGGTGGGAAGATGTTTAATTGGATAGCAAATTCTTTGTCAGATAGAAAAATAAGAGTAAAGATTGGAAATGATGACCCAAAGAATTTAATGTTGAAAATGGAATTACACAAGGCAGTGCAATTAGCCCAATACTATTTAATATCATGACAAATGATATCTTTTCTGAAACAGAAGAATGTATAAATTCTGCATTATATGCTGATGACGGGGTTATATGGATGAGAGGAAAGAATATAAAACATGTGGAAAGAAAAATTAAGAAAGCAATTAGTGAAGTAGAAAAAATGGTCCAATGAATGGGATTTTAAATTATCAACAAGTAAATCTTGTCATAAGGTTTTTACAAATAAGAAAAATATTGATATAGGAACAATAACATATTATGAATAGCCGTTGGAAAGGGTAGCAGAATTTAAATATCTGGGATTATGGTTGGATCAATCATATACATGTAAAACGCATAGATAATCTGGAAACTAAATGTAAGAAAGTTATAAATTTACCAAAGGTTGGGGCTGGAAATAACTGGGGTGCAGATAGACAGTCATTATTAAACATATATAGGGAACAATAATAGATTATGGTAGTTTATATATGGAGAAGCAGCTAAAACAACATTACAAAAAATAGATACATTTCAGGATAGGGCTTTACGTATATGTAGGAGCAGTGAAAACGACACCTATTAATGCTCTTCTTATAGAGACTGGAGAGATTCCACTGGAAATAAGAAGAATAAAATTAACTCTGACATATTGGATGAAAATAAGAAGTAGAAAGGATGGAAATGTAAATTCAACAATGTTAAAATATTGTTGGGAATACTCAAAGTTCCAGAGTAATGGATTTGGATGGATTTTAATCCATCCAAATTCATAAATTTTAATGGATTAAAATGTATGGATTTGAAGATAAAGAAATAGCTCAATTGAATCCCATTCGTGTTAGTCCTCCATGGATTTTTCCGGAGGTAAATGTTGACATGAAACTCCTTAAAATGAAAATGATTGGAATTTAAATAAATAGGGGTAAAGACTGACGTATATTTAAGAAACATATATTATAATCGCATTCAAATATATTCAGATGGTTTTAAGAATTTAAAAGGATGTGTGGGAATAGGAATACATATATATGATTTAAAATTGACATTTCTAGAAGCTTATCTGATCAACTATCTGTATTCACAGCAGAAATGGTGGCAGTTATTATCAGCTTACAGTGGGTAGATGAGGTTTGTCCAGACAGAGTAGTAATTTGCACAGATTCCAAAGCAGCAATAGAAAGTATTCAGGGAAGAGGAAATAATAGGAAAGATCTAGTACTTGAAATTCAACATACCTTATTTAGATTATATAGAGGTGGCATTGATATTCGGTTCTGTTGGGTATCAGCACATGAAGGTGTAAAAGGCAATGAAAGGGCAGATAAATTAGCAAAAAGGGCTTTAGATCAGGCAATAAGAATTAAAATACCTATTTGGAAAGGGGAAGGAAAATCAATTATTAAGAATAAAGACATTGATATATGGTTAAAAAAAAGGTGGAATGAAGATAAGAAAGGAAGGAAATTATATAAAATAAAGAAGTCAATATTTAGTAGAAATATTAAGGAGAGAAATAGAAAGGAAGAAATAATAATGATTAGATTAAGAGTAGGGCATACATTTTAAATGATACTTTATATTTAACAGGGAAGAAAAATAGTGATATGTGTGAAGAATGTGGAGAGAAAGAAAATGTAGAACATGTATTGATGAACTGTAAAACATGAAAGTGAAAGTGAGAAATTGAGAAGAATAGTTGGAAGGTCAGATCAAGAATAGAGTTTGAAAGAAATACTGGGAAATTATGGGAATATGATGTATATTTGCATATTAAGGAAAGCATTATTTATTTATCTACAACACACAAAATTAAAAAATAGAATCTGACTGATGTAAAATACTGTTGCTACACACTCGTGTACAGTAGGTGGCGGTATGCACCTTAAAGTTGATTGTAATCCGCCATAATAGAAAAGAAGAAGAAGAAGCAGCAGACGAAGTAGAGGAAGCAGAAGATGGCACCTGGTCTGTTTCGTTGAATGTTGGAGAGTTTGAGTGAATAAAAGTTTGAAGAAACATTGACAGAGTTTAAAGAAATCATCGTCCAGTCGGAGGAAGAGATGGATGATCAGCGCAGACTGCTTGATTTCTCCCGGACTCCCCAGATCATCTTACACCGAATAGGTAGGAAACAGCAGCGTTTGGATGCAGGTTAAGGTCTAAATGTCTAGTGTTACTTCACTATTGTATCCCACTTTATGTTGGATAATTACATAAAATTCTTATGAAATATATTTTCAGATGTGTTTATGTGATAAAATTTGGAAAAGTTCAAGGGTTAATACTTTTGAAGCCACGGGAGAATCAATGCAGTGAAGATGTGGCGCACCTAAAACTGCCACCCCATTATTTTATTTTGGTTGTATTAATATTTATTAAATAATTTTAAAATATTTTAATGTATGACTTATTGGACTTATTCCAAAATGAACAAGTTATATTTTGTTTGTTTCGGAGCAGCAGTGGCGAAGCGGAACTTTTGTTTGGGGGACGTTGCTCCCGGGTTGGTTTTACGGTGGAGTTCCGGTTTTCTTTTTCTTTTTTTTTTGTTTTGTTTGGGTGACTTCTCTCTTAAATGATGGAAGTTTTTTATTTACTTCAATGAAGTGAATTCCTAATTTTCTCTGTTTTCTTCTCCAGATCACCTACAACATGATGTTTATGAGGATGAGCTAAGTCAGCAGGAGAGGAGATCCACTCTGGACCAGGAGGAGTTAGAACCTCTGCAGGTGAAACAAGAACAGGAAGAGCCAGAAAATCATCAGATAAAAGGAGAACCGAAGGATCTAGAACACCTGCAGATAAAAGTGGAAGAGAAAGAAGTTTACTGCAGTCAGGGTGAAGAACTGATTGAATTAAAACAGGAGACTGATACCTGCATGGTGGTTCCTGTTGATGAGCAAACATACCAAACTGAATCAGAACCAAACAGGAACCAAGACATGTTAAAAAAGCCTGATGAAACTGAGAACCAAAATCAGGACAGAAGAAAACCTTTCTCATGTATCATTTGTAAAAAGCGTTTTGCCTTCAGATCTCATACTGGTAAAAAGCCATTTTTATGTCTGACTTGTGGAAAACGTTTTTGTCAAAAAGAGGTTTTAACTCGACACATGACGATTCACACAGGTAAAATGCCGTTTTTGTGTGTGATCTGTGGTAAATATTTTTGTCAAAAAAGGCTTTTAACTGGTCACATGAGGTGTCATACAGATGAAAAGTCTTTCATGTGTGTGATCTGCGAAAAGCAATTTTCTTTCAAATCTGCTTTCGATGCTCACAAGAGAACTCATAGGAAGGAAAAGCCTTTTTCATGTGGTACCTGTGGACAATCTTTTAGCCAAAAACACGTTTTAACTAATCACATGATGGTTCACATCGGTGTAAAGCCTTTTTCATGTGAGAACTGCGGAAAATGCTTTACTTTCAAGTCTGCTTTCAATGTTCATGTGAGAACTCACACAAAAAGCCTTTTCTATGCTTCATCTGTGGGAAAAGTTTTAGTTGCAAACAATATTTATCTGAGCACATGACGATTCACTCAGGTGAAAAGCCGTTTTCATGTATGACCTGTGGAAAGTGTTTTGCTTTCAAATCTGCTTTTGATGCTCATAGAACTCACACTGGGGAGAACCCCCTTTTAATGCGTCACTTGTGGGAAATGTTTCAGTCAAAAACATGTTCTACTTAATCATATTGTAATTCACACAAATACGAGGCCTTTTTGGTGTCTTATTTGTGGAAAAGGTTTGAGTAAAAAATTTTATTTAACTGTCCACATGAGAAATCACTCGGGTAGTTATTAATTTAGAGCGCAAAAAAAAAAAGAAATTCTAATAAAAAAGCCTAATTTGTCATTTTATTCCTGACCATAACATGGTTGTCATGGGTGACATGAATGCAGACATCTCAGATAAAAACTCAGTTTGCTAAACACCATTTTTTTTTTACAAATTCTAATCTAGTATTGTCAAGTAAAGAGCGTCTGCCAGCTGCTAGCTACATTTATGTAATTGAAGCTTGGCATACTGTGTCTTGGTTGGACCATTGTATGACTACAGCAGATGCTCATCTTGCTATGCTATACCTAAATATCTTATGCAATATGTCCACTGTTGACCACATCCCCTTCGAGGTGTCAACTAAATGTGAACAGTAATCAAATAGCTCATTACTATGCCCAAACTGATCAATTGTTATGTACCATTAAAATACCAAGAGAGGCAGTTACTTGTTCAGACGATAACTGCTCTATTATTGGAATATAACTGGATTAGAATATAACTGGATTATATTCTAATATAATTGAAGCTACTGGGAGCTGGCCTTCCTTATGATAAAAGTAATATAAAGATTCAAAACAGACCAGGCTGCAACACCTATGTGTCTAAATACCACAGTGAAGCTACTACTTCTTGGGCTCTAGCAGGTAAACCTAGGCAGGGCCCTTTATTTGAACATAAAAGCGGTCTAATGCAAAATACAAATATGCACTATGGTTCATTATCCAGAATAAGAAAACCATGAGGGCTGACTGCGTGGCAAAAAAGCTTATAGGTAAGGATACAAAAGCCTTTTGGAAAGAGGTTAAAACCATCAATAACAGTAAATCCTCTCTCCCTTGCACTGTCAATGGCGCTTCTGGGACGAATATGATTGTTGATTTTTGGCAACGTCACTACAGAAAATTATTTTCCTGTGTATACAGTGAACCCTTTCAAGTTGACAAGGTTAGTACTGTAGAAATGATCAAAACACACGAGGTCTATCAAGCAATTAAGGAACTGTCTGTAAATAAATCTGAAGGAATGGAGTTTCAAGGGTCGCCCCTCTTCTTGCCTTGTGTTTCACTGATTTTATTATTCCTGTTTTTATTCCTGATAGCTTGATGAATGTACTTCTACTTCCGGTGATTTAAAAAAAAAAAGCTGGTAAAATAGGCAGCTCTGATAACTATAACCTAGTACACTCTGAAGTCTTTGAACTTATTCTTTTGCCAAATTTGCAGATTGTTATGTCTGTAGACAATCAATTTGGGTTCAAGTCCAACCTGATACATGAGAATTACTGGATAATTATAACAGTAAAAACTCTACAGTTTTTCTGTGTTTTTAGACGCCACTAAGGCTTTTGATCGTGTAAATCAGAAAAAACTAATTTTAAAATTGTGCAACGCTGTTGTGGGCAAATATATAGTAAGATGTCTGTCCTATTGGTGTGCTAATCAAACTATGCAGGTCAAATGGGACAAGTGTATGTCTGCATCCTTTCGTCTGAGATAAGGAAGCATTTTATTTCCTATGTTGTTTAATTTTCATGTGAATGATCTCTCTAATCTCCTGAACCTGTGTAGAACTGGCTGCATGGATGGTGAAACTATTATTAATCATTTAATGTATGCTGATGACCGAGACGTTTTTAGTCCCAGTTCAGCTGGTCTTCAGAAACTGCATCATGTTGGTAACCTACATGATAAATTCAATCCATCAAAAAGTATCTTGATCTGTTGCACTAAGGAGGAAAAATATAGGGCATTTCCAAATTTCAAGCTGTCTGGGACTCTATTGAATTAATGAAGTAAAATATCTTGGTCATGTGTCGACAGACTGTCTGTGATTTACCGTCAGGTCCGAATGTCATCTGCTCAGGCAAATATCCTTGTTTAGATCATATTGTACATCACTGTATACTGCACATTTGTGGTGCAACGTTCAAAGAGCCAGTCTTCAAAGATTGAAGGTGGCTGACAATGACTTTTGTTAAATAAGCCCAGATGGACCAGTGCCAGTGAACTGTTTGTATCCGCTCGCGTCAGCATTTTGATGGCTGTTTAAGAAAGCTTATGTTTAATTTTATTTGTCATATAAACGAGTCTAATAATAGCATTATCCTAGTGTTGATGAAATATATTGCAGTAAAATATATTGCAGTAAAATACTCATCTGTACTCTGGAGACATTGGTATGACTGCCTCCTGAAACGCTAGTAGCCGTTATTTTCTGTATTTTTTCTACTTTTATCAATTTGTTTTTTCTTCTTCTTTTTTTATGTAATTTGGACTTTGAGTCTGTAATAAAATCTATCTAAATCTATCTATAGTCTTCAACTTATTGAGTAAAATCTGCTAAGTGGCTTGACTTAGATAGGTTGGCTAAGGAGGCTATTAAACAAGAAGTTATTGATATGCCAGTAAAATGATTTAAATCTGAAGACAAAGGTATAGTTTGGAGAGGAAGCAAGAAGATTTGGAAAATTACGTGGAATAATGAAATAAATGGAAGGCATTTATATACATTTGATGTAGTAATGGTTAGAGGAATAAACAGGAGGGAGGAGATAATTATGAATAGAATAAGAACCAGTCAGTTTTTTTTAAATGGAACTCTTTTTAAGATGGGGAAACATCTTACTGGTTTATGAAGTTGGTGTGATTTTATGGAACATGTTTTTATTAGTTGTAGAAAATATGTAAATCAAAGATATGAGAATTTGAGACATAGATATGAGGATCCAATAGGTGGCAGTAGTGCAACAACAATGGATGCAAACTTCCGTTACAATGTAAAGGAGAAGAAGAAGAAAAAGTAGGAGAAGAAGAAGTAGAAGAAGACAAAGAGGACAGCACATGGTCTGTTTTGTTGAATGTTTGAGTTTTTCTCTATTAAATATCTCCAGTCCAGCTTAAACCAGTGAATCAGCGAGCAGTGAACTGCAGAAACATTGACAGAGTTTAAAGAAATCATCGTCCAGTCGGAGGAAGAGATGGATGATCAGCGCAGACTGCTTGATTTCTCCCGGACTCCCCAGATCATCTTACACCGAATAGGTAGGAAACAGCAGCGTTTGGATGCAGGTTAAGGTCTAAATGTCTGCACCTTTCTGCATGAGGATCATTTTAGTAAACGCTCTTTTCCCGGATAAATGTTTTGTTAGCAGGTAAATGAACGCAGACATCACAATGAGAATGGCTGATTTATGGAGAGAAAATGGAGTTTCTCACAATCTGAGCTTTGTGCTGCGTCAGTGTTTCGTTGTGTAGTGGAAGTAGTGTCAGTAGTCAGTTAAAACGTTGTAGCTCTGGAAGAAGGGACTTTGTAACGGCAGCCCCAAAACAAATACACACATCATGTGCAAATAAAGTTGCCGAAAGTGAAGAAGAGTCTGTTTCGTGAGTGCAACACTATTTGTGTGTTTGGTTTCCATCCATCCGTTTTCTAACTCGCTTATCGCGAGAGTTGCTGATGCATCTCCAGCAGTTGCATATTTAGGTTTATATTGTACATATTTCATACTTTAGTTGCACTTTTCCCAACTGGATTTTCTTTCATTGTACATGTGTAAATCCAAATGAATTCAAAGTCTTTCTATCTTGTTATTAGAGGATGATCAGGGTCTCTGCTCCAACTCTGTATTTCTAACGGGTTTTGTCCAATTTTAGATATTTTTCCATGTAGAGTTTTTTTTGGGGGCTTCTGGGAGAAGCTTTTTACAATATATCCCACTTTGTTTCAAACTGCTTTTCAGCATTATGGAAGAGGAAGATACAGCGGAAACGCTATAAAACCATCAGAAAAGGTTTGTTTTGGAATGTTGCCATACAAGATGGCGCCCAGCGACGTAAACGTCACACGCAGTGAACAGATAAAAATTAAGAAATCATTTAAAATCAATTTTCTACATCTGGGAAGCAATTTGAACAAATTCGTGAGCTTCACACATTTGAAATTTTAAGTGTCAGGTGTTTTAAACAGACATTTGATGAAGTACATTTGTCGCCTTTCTTGTTGATGCATAAAATATATACATATAGAAAAACTTTCACACATAACATGTATTGCATGCATGAGAAATATTTCACTCAGCAAACTGACAATGACTGAGAGCTCTGGCTCGGATGAAATTTACAGTTCGGACAACCACCTCCATTACATGGTGCATTTTTAGCGACTTGCAGCTTAATGCTTCCTGATGCAAAATACAATGAAATGTCCAAAACTCCCTCCTTTATTTGCAGCTTGTACTTTCTCTCTGAACTTTGTCACAACACCTGTCTTTTTCCCAATCATTGACGGCGCACCATCAGTAGCCAGGCTTTACGGCGCGGGACGGTCCAACAACAGAGTGGAAAATGTCTTCAGATGTCGTGGTGTCGGCCATTTTTATTAATTTTTTTTCTTCAATGGTAATGTCCGGCTGGGGGCATTTAGACCCCGGGCCGGGCTAAATCGTTTGGCGGGCCGCTTCCTGTCTAACTTAGAAAAGCAAATAAGAAAGGAACAAAACTAAACAACTATTAACCTACAAATAAATTCATGTTTATAACTCAACCCCAAGGATTTAAAGTGCACAAAATTAGATTTAACTATTATTCAAAGTAATAAAAGAAGTAATGTATTGAAATATACAGTTTACTATTAAATACTAACAATAATCCCTACGACATTTAATTTTGTAATCAATAAAATTATTTTTTTAATCCGTTCATTTGAGAATTCTCCAAATGTCAGCTGGATTTGTCGACTGATGTGTATCT